AGCCCAGAGACTTTCTTCAGTTTCACCTTCTCCCTATTTTCTTCCCAAAGATCTTCAGTGGAGCTGGGTTTGGCAACTGTGCTCCAAAAAAGCATTTCTCAAACAGCTTGAATAAAATGATTGTTATTAATTTTAAATAATGCATCCTTGAATAATAAGTATCAAATGAATACAATGTTGCTTTTTATAAATTATTAAATAAGTCAGTTCTTGGCAGAGCTCCCAGACATTTGTATGCTAATCCCTACTGTATACTAATCTCTTTTATCCCAGCATTCCAGCCTAAAATAAGAGTTTAATATTTTACTTGTTCTGTTATTCAGTACTCTGTACCTCAGCTAGCCTAGCCACTGAGCTATAGGCTCATTAACACAACCAAGCTGGCATTAGTGTAACTCCTACCTCAGTCATCAAACCAAATCATTAAAAATTAAAATAAAAAAAAAACACAGAGATTCTGTCTTTATTCAGACACCACAGACAAATTTTCTACCCTTTCAGGCTGAGAAAAGAGGCCAAACTTAGGTAAGACCAGAGAACTTGTAGAAAGGAGAATTACCACTCTGTAATGTCTTCCAGGTTTCTCAAACACTAGGGGGCGCTCCCGAGCGAGTCCAAAATTAATGGGTTAAGATGGAGCATTTGGGCAAAAACAGTTTAGAAATGCTTAAACAGCTTTAATATAAAATAATACATTCGTTTTTGTAAACACAGAGTAGCATAAAACATTTTAACACTGTTTTTGTATCTTTGAGCGCTTATGAACTCGAGTTCAAAATGAGTTTAAAACGGCGCCTCATGTACGTCCATGACGTCAGTGAGCGTGAACAGCCAATGAGCTGCTCCACTCGCTAACCAATCAGCGCTCAGTAGCAGTAATGTTAGCGTCAATACATCCTACTTTTTAAAATGAAAGTTCTCAGCAAGTGATTAGAAACTATTTTAACTTTTCGTTTTTAGCCGTTTAGCTCCATTCACCCCCCCATTCATTGAGGACTCGCTTGCGGGCGCTCCCTTCTTCATTTTGCAGTCCTGTTTTTGATATAACGGGGGAAATAGGAAGAGGCCAGGCCCCTCATAAACTGGCTCTAGTAAGACATCCAGATACCATGATAGCTACCTTGCCAACTTTAGCTTCTAGCTAGTTGTCCTCCTTTACATTTCTGGCATTTGGCAGACGATCTTATCCAGAGTGACCTTACAATATGTGTGGGTAAAGGAAAGGGTGCTTCCCAGGTGGGGAATCGAATCCCAGTCCACGGCATGGAGGGCAAAGGTGTTACACACTGCACTATACCAGCCACATATCAGCTGATGAGTCATTTCTGTAGTTTGAATAATCATTTTAAATTTTTAATTTTGTTCATTTAAGCTAATTCCTGTCCCTGTGCATTTGCTTTTGACATTCTAGGTCCAAAGCCCTAATAAAAGGCTGTAGATTTTAGGCCCTCAATGAGAAAATCACACTTAGAGACGAAAATCACATTATGCTGTTTAAATTGGGGGCATCTGGAGAAATGCTAAAGCGTGACTAGCAAAAAGTAATGCAGGCAAGCTGGGCTGGCTGTCTAAGCTGCAATAAAGCAGTGTGAACGTCATTGTGTCGTGCAGCCGTTTCCCTCTGAATTCCCAGCAGAAGCTTTAATTTAAATTGAATTATTTATAATGAAGGTCCAAGGGGACAGTTTGCAGATGGTGTTATACCACCCATTAGGCTCTCGAGGACAAAGCAGCGATCTGCTGGCTTAAATCAGTGGCCATTCCTCTGCAACTTCAGAATAAAGGATAAATGATACTCACATCATTCACCTTTTTGTGGAAGTGATTTGTACATTCAAAACTTATTGGAAAATCCGATTAAGCTACGAGAATGACCTTCAGAGCAAATGTGAGATAATGGTTGTTTGTTCCAAGTGAGTGAGAGGTTTCGAACTGACAGGTGCCAGAGAGGATTCAGTGCAGCGATGCCGTCAAAGAACCAGAATTGCTTCCCCAAAGAATGTTTCAACTGATGGTCCTATGAAGGAACTCTCCTGTGTTTCTCAACCTAATCTCAGTCTGCAGCATCTGTACCATTCAGCCAATTACCAAAAACAGTACTTTCAACACTTTTGCTGTATTTAGTAACGACAGAAAACCGATTAGCTCTTTTTAGTTTGTTTTGTCTGCGTACTTCCGCTCACCGGCCACTTAATTGGAAACCCCCAACTCGTACTTCCGCTCACCGGCCACTTAATTGGAAACCCCCAACTCGTACTTCCGCTCACCGGCCACTTAATTGGAAACCCCCAACTCGTACTTCCGCTCACCGGCCACTTAATTGGAAACCAACTCGTACTTCCGCTCACCGGCCACTTAATTGGAAACCCCCAACTCGTACTTCCGCTCACCGGCCACTTAATTGGAAACCAACTCGTACTTCCGCTCACCGGCCACTTAATTGGAAACCCCCAACTTGTACTTCCGCTCACCGGCCACTTAATTGGAAACCCCCAACTCGTACTTCCGCTCACCGGCCACTTAATTGGAAACCAACTCGTACTTCCGCTGACCGGCCACTTAATTGGAAACCCCCAACTCATACTTCCGCTCACCGGCCACTTAATTGGAAACCCCCAACTCGTACTTCCGCTCACCGGCCACTTGGCTGGAAAACCCATGTCGCACTTCCACACACAGGCCACTTTATTGGAAACCCTCACATCATACTTCCACTCACTGGCCACTTTATTGGAAACCCCCGAAATCGTAGGTCCACTCACCGGCCACTTTACTGGAAACCCCAAAATTGTACTTCCACTCACTGGCCACTTTATTGGAAACCCCAAAATCGTAGTTCTACTCACTGGCCACATTAGTAGGAACACCTACCTTGTACTTCCACTCATTGGCCACTTTATTGAAAACACTATATAGGTCCATTATATAGATGCTTGAAGTCTGTAAGCATTTTATTACTGCAGATGTATAATTACAGACTGTAGCCCACCTGTTGTTGCACAATTTATCATCACTGGTCAGTTTGTGTTTCAGCACACTGACATGAACGCTGCTAGGTTGAGAGTGGTCCACCACCCAAAAATATCCAGCCAAGTGCAGCTCTGTGAGCACCGCTTAAGTGATGGAGGATGGCTAACGCAACAAGCTAGAGCTCTGGATGAAGTGGCCAGCGAGTGCATGTGTTTTTCATGGAAATCATACATGAACACTTCTTTGGAAAGAAAAACATCTGAGACTACTCTGCCATCTAGTGGTGAAGAGTTTCTATTTCAAATTGATGTTAATTCAGTGAATCAGTGAAAAGCACACTTCAGTCTGTATGTGCAGATTTACCGCCACTCATCGGGATACAGAATATAGTACAATTTATTTTACCATTTTCACTTGATGTCCTTCGCCAAAAATATGTTGCGACAGTTCAACAAGGCAAAACACCACCTTGATAGTTCCTTCCGCAGAAAAAGACAGTTTGCTCTTTATTGTAACTGAAAACTAAAATTAAATTAAAAGTAGCACAATGACACCGATCACACAAACATGCCTCAGTCGTCTAAAGGGGCACATGCAGGTGTTTAAATGGTGAAAACTCAAAGTACCTGCAAATATTTACAGTCCATCCTCATGCACAGCACTTGCAGGAACAGATGCACGAGCCACGGAAGCATGAGCCATGCACACGTACAAACACGCATACAAAAACTCTGAAAAAAACTCAGTCATACGGTGGAGTTAGTCATCACAGTGAGGATTATAAGCGCTACATTAACAATCTGTCCAGTGTGCGGTTTCGTTACCTAAACAAAACGTCACACACACAGGAAAAAAAACACAAACACCCTTATTCAAACCCTATGCCCTCAAAAAAGAAAAAAAAATATCAGATTATTATCATCACTATCATAATTTCTGAGAAATCCATTTCATCTACAGCGATTCAGGAGTCAGTGTATAAACTAGGATGACAGAGTGCTTGATAAGAGCGGGCGAGATTCGCTCCCACCCCTGCAGAGATGGTTGTTCAAATTGAGGAGTAGTGCCATGCACACGAGTGTAGCTCATTTCACAGTAATAATAAGAATAACAATGATAATAATAATAATAATAATGATAAAAAAAAACAAAAAAACAACAACAATCTTTTCATTCAATCGTCGATTAACAGACCCTTCCTTAAAGCAACAGTTTGGCCAAAAATAAATAAATTGACACATTTTCCCCCCTTAACTCAAATGTAGTTGATCAGTGAAGACACGTTTGTTGCCTGAAATCCGCTTCTTTAGTTTTACCAGAGAACTTGCAGAGAGGAGAACCGTCACTTTGTAATGTCTTCCAGGTCAAACGCTAGAGGGCGCTCCTGAGCGAGTCCAAAATGAATGGGTTAAGACGGAGAATTTGAGCAAAATCATAGCTTCTAAATGTTTAAACATTTTTAATATAGAAGAATACAATCAGTTCCTGAACACTGAACAGCATAAAACATTTTAATTTGATATTTTTAAATGCTTTTAAACTCGAGTTATGGGAGTTTAAAACAGCGCCTCATGACGTCAGTGAGAACGAACAGCCAATGAGCTGCTCCGCTCGCCAACCAATCAGCACTGTAGAATAAAGGAAACATACAGGTGAGTTTTCTTTGCTTTTTTAGTGAAGTACATCCTCCTACTTTCTAAAATTAAAGGAACGTTCTGGGCGAGTGATTAGAAACTATTTTAACTGTTTGTCTTTTAGCCATTTAGCTCCATTTACTCCCATTCATTGAGGACTCGCTCACGGGCGCCCTCTGCTGTTTTGTGGTCCTGTTTTTGCTATAACGGGGGAAATAGGAAGTGGCCAGGCTCCTCATAAACTCTAAACTATGAGGCTAATGTAGCTGACAAGTGACGAAAGCTAATAGAATCACCAATTAGCATCACGCAAACTGCATGCCTAAATCTAGGCCTGTCACAGTCATTAAGTTTTAGCTGATGATTAACAACTTAATTAGGTTTTTTTTGTTCACCGTATGCAAGTACAAGTCTGAAGTGGCCAAACTGACTGATTAGTTATTAACAAACATCAAATAAACATAAATCACTCACCGCTGGCTTGTTTTTTAACAAACATTAAAGAGACAGTTTGCAGATAAATCAAACTTTTATGATTTTCCCCTTAACCCAGATGCAGCCCATCAGCCACGACATTTGCCGTCCAAGTTTTGCCTCTTTAGTCTAGAACTGGAGCTGCGATGCTAACAGTGCTAACAAACACTGGAAGCAAACAGTCACCAAAATCGTTTCCACAAATGCACGCCAGAAGCTTTATGTACTTGGTTCAAACTAACAGTGATAAGATACATAAACTACATTATCATCCACATAACGTTCTGCCTTCTGGTCCTGTTCAAACTTAAGACTGGAGCACAGGGACGTGTTGTAAAACGCAGGTACGTAATGTTAGCACAGTAATAGTTAAGGCTTACTTACTGTAACTGCATATCAAATAATGATAAACCTACAAAAATGAGGTGCTGCGTTCCATTTTGCAAAAAGAGAACAAAGAAATCGATGTAGTCCAGAACATCATCACTGATACCTCACACCTCAATGAAGTGATTATTATTATTAATATTATTATTTTGATTTTGTGAGTAACGCTGCAGTGCATCTGTGTTGTGAATTAACCATCTTTGGTCATCTTGCATGGAATGGTACCAAATTGTATTCAGCAAAGAAGAGATTACAGTTTTCCCAAATGGCTGCCCAGAAGTGGTTTGAACAGGTGAGAAATTCTGGGGACGAATTTACAGCTTAACAGTTTGGGTGGCTACTGACTTCCAGAGTTTGTTAGCAACGTTAGCCTCATATCTTCTGTTCTATACTGAGAAGACCCAACAAACAAATAAAGCAAATTAAAAAAAAGAGCTGCGAATGTGGAAAACACTTTCATCAAAATGACAACATGGGAGCTGCGTTTCATAAATGCGGTGAAAAGTCGTGGACACTCTGCAAACTCAGAAAGCACTTTCATCAAAATGACGACGCTACATTTCATAAACGCGCTGCAAACACAGAAACACACGCAACGTCAGAAACGCTGATAAGCCGGTCACAACACAACAGAGGTGCTTCTGGAGGACACTCAGAGAGGATGGAGTCATTCAGACTCTCAAATGATACGGGGCAGAAAAACTAACTGGTAAAAGTAAGTTAACATTTATTTATTGATTGATTGATCGATTACTGAATCACTGTATCGTGATGGAAATTAGCTGTAGAGAGTAACTGTAAATGTTCAACTAGTAACACCGGATCACTAACACAGCACAGCTGTGACATGTCAGACAGCAAACCAGCCAGTCAGGTTAGGCATGAACACAGGATGTGAGAGTCCGAGCGTCTGTGGTCTAATCTACTTCTGGCAGCGCCTTTCCATCATAGATATTCCGTCCCCTCTGAGTCTTCCAGAAACAGTTCTGTTGTGTTGTGACTGGCTTTTCTGAAGTTGCACCTGTTTTTTCTTTTTTATTTCCAGCGCGTTTGTAAGGTGTAGCTCCGATGTAGTCATGCTGATGAAAGTATTTTCTGTATGTGCAGCACGTGTGTGAGATGTAGTTCAGGTTCAGTGATTCTGATGAGTGTTTTCTGTGTTTGCAGCGCATTTATGAGTTTGCAGTGTTTTAACTGTACTATGAATAGGGTCTTGTCGGCCACTGTGGTTCTGTACTAAAGAAGCCAAAGAAGTCTTGGCTGATCGACTGCATTTGGGGTAAGTAGGAAATCATGGACATTTTGTTTCGCCAAACTACTCCTATATTTAAACACTACTCACTGCTGCCCTCTGGAGGTGTTATAGCACAAGTCAGAAGTTAGGGCCTGTTGTTTTTGTACGAATTTTCTGCTTTATTTTATTTACATGGATTTGCCCCCCAGTTCACCCAGTTCTGTTTGATGACACCAAACACATCCTTGCTGATCAACTATGTAGATTAAAGGGGAAAGCTCACAAATTTTTGCATCAAACCATCACTTTAAACCCCCAATGCATTACACTTAAAGCGAGAACTTACCAAACGGAGATCAAACTAAGATTTGTGTTGAACATGGAGATGAATAATTAATAACACGGCCTTAACCGAGACCCTGCTCTTTTTACGTTGTATCATCAAATATTAAAGACTCCTTCAAGAGAAATTCTTCCACCGTTAAACATTTTAAACGTTAAGCGCACACAACCGAATCCATTATCCATCGCAGCCAAAGGCACTCTTCCTTCAACATAGAAAAGCTGCGCTACTCGCTCGGCTCTCTTACATTATCCTGGGTAGGGCTGAGCGGCTGCCGTCGGGCCAGTCACCTTAACCTTGTGCTTCAACAGGTTCTTCATCATTTAACACAAGTCCAAAGCCAAAGCGTTCAGGACCGGCCGCTCAGTATTTGTTCTCATCCCACGGTGGTAGTCTGTTCACTAAAGCTTTGTGGTCTATGTAAATGCTGGCCAGCAAGCCACCTGTATTCTTCTCAGAGCCAGAGTAGTCGATGTCTTCTCCTTTTAGAGTGGTCATATGACCACCCAGAGCCTTTAAAATGGCGTTTCCGGCACATATGTCCCACTTCTTAATGTACGTCACGTGGATGTACATGTCTGCCTTCTCGTACTCTTCATCAGAAACGTCCAGAAGAGCAAGCACTTTATATCCTGTGAAAAGAAGGATACTCATGTTTAAATACGTTTAATATACACCGACTGGCCAGTTCATTGTCCATTTTGTCAGCTCCACTTATCATATAGATGCACTTTGTAGTTCTACAATTACAGACTGTAGTCCATCTGTTTCTCTGCATACTTTGTTACCCTGTTCTTCAGTGGTCAGGACCCCCATGGACCCTCACAGAGCAGGTACTATTCGGGTGGTGGATCATTCTCAGCACTGACGTGATGGTGGTGTGTTAGTGTGTGTTGTGCTGGTATGAGCGGATCAGACACAGCAGTGCTGCTGGAGTTTTCAAACACTGTGTCCACTCACTGTCCACTCTATTAGACACTCCTACCTTGTCGGTCCACCTTGTAGATGTAAAGTCAGAGACGATAGCTCATCTGCTGCTGCACAGTTTGTGTTGGTCATCCTCTAGTCCTTCATCAGTGGTCACAGGACGCTGCCCACAGGACACTGTTGTCTGGATATTTTTGGTTGGTGGACTATTCTCAGTCCAGCAGTGACACTGAGGTGTTTAAAAACTCCAGCAGCACTGCTGTGTCTGATCCACTCAGACCAGCACAACACACACTAACACACCACCACCACCACATCAGTGTCACTGCAGTGCTGAGAATGATCCACCATCCAAATAGTACCTGCTCTGTGAGGGTCCATGGGGGTCCTGACCACTGAAGAACAGGGTAACAAAGTATGCAGAGAAACAGATGGTCTACAGTCTGTAATTAGAGTGCGTAGCTGATAAAATGGACAAAGGGTACAGAAACAAGGAGGTGTCCTTAATGAAGTTGCCTGTTGGTGTACAATATTGTGCATAAGTCAGAGACCACTCTTAATTTATTTAAATTTGCAGTCAAAGTGGCCAATAAGTTATTCGTTTACATTTAACAGAAAATCCCAATTAAACAAATATAACTCTTTCAGTATTAAGTGTGTCCGCTTTTTGTCTTTATTACAACTTCTGTTCTTTTCAGGAAACTTACTTTCAGGTTTTTCAAAGAAATCTGCAGGGATATTTTTCCACACCTCCTAAGTTCAGTCTTAGAAGTTGGTTTAGTATTTTCTGCTTCTCATGGTCTCAATAATAAAAATGAATTACTCCTCAATAATAGAAATGCTCCTTTTGGTTCATAGTTAACAGGCATGCCTTCATGCCAAAACAGTCAGGTGATGCTTTGTAAAAGGAAATGTTTAATAAGAGCTTTACGTTTATAAGAACATAGCTGTGGTGACTGTGGTGGTTCCCTCTGCCAAGCCGGCCCGCCCTAAAGTAATCAGATCTTGATTAGAGCAGTGATAGCTTCTTGGTGTAACTTCAGCTTATTTAACACCTTATTTTGTTCGAGATCTTACAAACACATGCAAAAGTTTGGGCATCTCTGGTCAAAAGACATGTCGATTTTCTAAGTGAAAATAAGTCACAGATCCTCTACAGAGAGCACACTTCTGCACATTTTAATGCCCAACTACTGAACTTGCTGAACATACTGTGGAAAAAAATAATACATAAAATGTGGCCTGTGCAAATGTTATGGCATTTTATGTTTTCTGTTTATATTTCAACTTTATAATTCTGTTTATAATATGTTAAACTCAGTAGATAATTAAAGACTGTGCACCACAATTTGCAAAAAAAGATGCCACATCTAAGTGTGTTCTCTGTAGATGATGTGTTAACACATCTTCATTTAGAAAGCCAACAAAATCTCATTTGACCAGGGTGTTCAGACCTTTGCATACAACTGTATTTTATAGCCAACACAACCATGATCTAGGATGCCAAGCAGACCAGCTCAGCAGGGGGATACCATAGTGACCACACCATCCTATTAGCTATAGCAGTGGTCACAATTAATGAAGTCTGACAAAATCGGAGACGGTCCAAAATGACCTAGATTAAAATCAAATGACAATAACATCCTAAATGTAAGAATTTTGTTTTTTGCTTCTCTTATTTTTTAGAGATACGATCAATGATAAGCAAGTCTATTTGAGTTTATTTCACAACTCCACATGGTTTGAGGCAAAGCTTTTCAACTACGTTTGGTGTTAACTGTGTAAACAGTGTGAACAATATACTTTATGTATATCACACTAGAAATATTACCCTTTTTACCAAGCCCAAATATCTTAAATGAGTCTGATCTGAGAGTAGCCACTATAAATGCCACTGAACTGTAATGCTGCAAGTTACACTAAATATCTTTCATTAAACAGATGTAGTACAAGAGCTTAGAAAGCTGAACGAACTCTGTTCAGCTGAACTGAATTTAAGATAAATTCAAAGTTAGATTTTGAACATATGAACTTAACCAAATCCAGAATGTGAACATGAAGTACCTGCGCCCCCTGCTGGTATGATTTCAGTGTTGTTCCCAAAAGCCTGCTGGACGAAGCCTTTTACTTTGCCTGCGTGCGAGCGGGACACTATTACTTTGGGGTTGTTTGCGTTGTAGGAGTCACGGCGGTTCACGTTTGCCGCCCCACCCACCATGCCCCAAGCTGAGGAAAAGAAGGGACAGTTGAGTTACAAGAGGAAACGCTGCTTAAAGGAATACTCCAGATTTTTTCTAAACGTAATCTCTATCCAGCATATCTGTATCATACAGTTGATTACCACAGAAAATAACTGAAGCATTTTCCTGTACTTCCAAGAAAACAGGTGTATAGGAAAACAGTTAAACACAAATAGTTCAACACAAGAGTGGAAACCTCTTTTTCACATTCAGTTTGTGGTAATCTTTGTGTGGAGTGATATACTTTTTGTTTATTTATTTATTAAGTGACCCTTATTAGTCCCACAACAGGGAAATTTCACCTCCACATTTAACCCATCCGTGCTGTGAAACACCCACATACACACTAGTGAACACACACACACTAGGGGGCAGTGAGCACACTTGCCCAGAGCAGTGGGCAGCCCTATCCGCGGCGCCTAGGGAACAGTTGGGAGTTAGGTGCCTTGCTCAAGGGCACTTCGGTCACATACTGTTGGCTCAGGGGATTGAACTGGCGACCTTCCAGTCACAGGGCTGGTTCCCTAACCTCCAGCCCACGACTGCCCCAATACACATCTCTGGGTGATCAAAACGAGCCAAGACTGACAAACTTATCCTCCACGTTGGATAAGACTAGAGAGAAGGCATCCTCGATACTGATGATCAGCTATGGATGATGTATGCTGTTTTGTATGCACACAGGAGACAATGACAGTTTTTTTCAACTTAAATGTGACACACTAGAGACGTTGTAAAGAAGGAGACCGGTGGCTATAGTTGAAATATAAATGAGAAAGCTTGTAATGCTCAACATGGTGTCATGGTGTCAATCAGCTTGCTGGAATGCGAGTCGGGGAAAGCCCACCCTTGTTGTGGGCTGAAAATTCATGTTTTTTTTTTGTTACTGGGCCAAACACTACTAACTATTTATGACCTTTTTGTCAGATTTTATCAGTCATTACAAATATGCTTTCGAAACGGCAATTTGACCTTCAGGACCACAAAGCAAGGTCCATAAAGGCATAGTTAGGTGAGCTTTATGTGAAAGAACCTGACTGGCCCTCACAGAGCCCTGACCTCAATCCCACTGAACACCTTTGGAAATGAACTAGAACGGAGATTGTGAGTCAGGCCCTCTCGTCCAACATCAGCGTCTGACCTCACAAATGCTCTTCCGGATGAATGGGCGAAAAATACCACAGACACACTTCAAAATCTTGTAGAAACCTTCCCAGAAGAGTGGAAGCTGTTAGAGCTGCAAACGGGGGACCAACTTCATATTAATGTCTATGGATTTTGGATGGGATTCATAAAAGCTTCTGTAGGTGTCCCAATACTTTTGTCCATATAGTGTATGTTTTGTCAGATAAAAACATTTCAGATGCTTTAAGCATATCTTTTTTGGAACGTTAACACCGGATTATTATTCTGGGATGAAAAAGAAGACTGAACAATACATAGTTAAACATGTCGCTGTTGTCAGAAGAAAACCTTGTATCTCCAAAATGGTAACTTTACAGGAAAAGGAAAAAACATACATTAAAATTAAGGTAAGTCAATGGAACCAGACCTTTCTTCAAGTAATCTTGGGCCATTTCGTTTGGTCCATTCTTCATAAAATTTACATACAGTGTAAAGGGCAACAGGCATTTTCAAATTATGTCAAAAACTGAAAAATGTCAAAAATAGAGATATGAGGTTTTCTTCTGACAACAGCGATATGTCAATATTGCTACCTAACACTGTCCACACAGTCCCAGCAAAAACAGTGCTAAATCTTCATTTCTACAGTGTTTTTTTTTTTTAATTCAAATTTTCTGTTCCACCAAATGAAGAAGCAGTTACATTCTGGCACCTGTGCAGCGATGCCTGATGCAGCTCACCAAGCCAGGTGGCTCCTTAGGTGGTATGAGAGTAACCAGAAGCACTCTGGTGTCCAGGTTGGGCTGTGGCTAACTCCAAAAGACCAGCCATTGATGTGGGGCCAGTTTACACCCTGCATTCACATCCACTTTTGGATTTCACTTGACCGCATGAAATGCCAGGTGTCAACAACCCCAGGATTCACTGAGAGTGGATTACGATCAGATCACCCAAACCACATTCAGAGGTGATCGAAGACGGATTTTGACCGCATTTAAAACAAGTGTAAATGAAACGTATGTTGTTATAGCAGAGAATAACACATTTGTGAATAAACTATGTCAACTATTGAATGTTAGTACACCCTGACGGAACTGGGTAGGCAGGAGAGGGCCAAAACCTTTCGATTGCGGGTGGAAGCGGGACAAATGATTGCAATTATCTGCGGGAGCGAGCAGGAACGGGATGAAATCTTGCAGGAACAGGGAAAAAACCTTTAGAACATCTTCAGTGAAGTGCTTCAGTAAAAATGAGCTCATTTTAAAGCTTAGTAGGCTTTAAGGAAAAACCATCAGATCAGTATCCCCTCAAGGTTTCAATATCAGTTATGGAAAAGAAAAAAAAAGAAAAACTAGTATCTCTATACCGGAGAATTCCTTTAAACAAACATCACTATGAACTACAAGTTCATTATGAGCTTTAACATTACTGTTATTGTCAAAGTGTTAATCTGCTCAGCTGTTTGTTTAAGCATTTAAACAGACACACCTGTAAACCCAGTGAAGGGTTTGTGGATCACGCCTATAATAGGATCTCCATCTACAGCCACACACACCATAGTCGTCACGTATTTCCGCAGGTTTTCTGGCAAAAAAACAATAAACAAAGAACAAAGAATGCAGTCCATTATAGCCGGACACACCCTGACAGAGGTATGTGTAGCAGTTTTCAATAGAAGAGTGTTTTTAGTCCCATACTTTAATAGATGGATCACTTTACTGGTACATCTGTGATATACAAATATACAGTGGCCCCAAAAGTATTTGGACACTTCAATCACTAAACCTTTGTGAACTTTAATGAAGTTCTTTAGGTTACTTCCTTAAATAATTAATACAATTATATCTAAATATAATTTATCTATAAAATGATATATTAAAAATTTTATTACAAAAAAATTAATTAAAAAAAAACAATTAGCACAACATCAAACTGATGATGGACTCTTTGTGTTGAGAAAACCTGAAGAATTGCAACCATCACTGATCTATTTTGCACTTAAACAGAGCAAAATCTGCTGATTACTTTACTAAATGAAGGCTCCAACATATGCTGTGCTTTGAGTAAACATACCTGTGTATTCCTGAGTGGCGTCCAGCGGATCAATCCACACAGTCACACTCTCTGCGGGCACCAGTTTACCCTCCGGGATCTTATTCAGGATCTCAGAAGGGATGTTGCGGGTCCATATGGTGGCTTCTCCATCAGAGTTATCATGCTCTTCTGAGTTCACCTAACAAAGAGGCACAAAGGACATCTGAATGAAAGCACATCAAAAATAGCTCATTATTAGCTTTAGTAGCTTCCTAACAGCTTATTACTGACCATAGTCGATGGTCACTAGTATGCACTGTCCACACAAACGAATGTAAGTAAAGTATGCAAGTGTTTAGGGGGAAAAAGGAACCAAAATGAAGAGCTACTAGTTATGCTAGTGCATCGCTGCGTCCAGAGATTTTGCAAAATGTCTGCGCAATTCTGTGGTTGAGATGTAAACGGTCTTTTAAAGGGGTTTGATGGATTTCTACACAGCGGTGGTGACAAAAACATGGGTTTGCAAACTCTGCAATGCAAATATAACCAGTTTATTTATCAACAACCACAGAAAACTGGTTAGAACGAGTGGATTTCCACTTAAAGTAATGCTGTAAGCCAGCCTGAGAAGGGTCCAACAGCAGAGCCACAGTACCTCACTCTCAGACCCGGATATGATGTCACACAGAGCTCGAGAGGCTGAGCATCTACAGTACGTTGCGCTTTATTACAAGGGCACAAAAGGCAGTGCGTAACATGTTTAGAAACACTTAAACACTACAGCTGTGTCCCAAACGGCTACTTACTCCCTACATAGGGCACTACGAGAGTTATGAAATTTGGACTTCTACACAAAGGTAGTGCACTATACACCAATCAGGCATAACATTATGACCACCTCCTTGTTTCTGTGCTCATTGTCCATTTTATCAGCTCCGCTTACTATATAGGTGCACTTTGTAGTTCTACAGTTACAGACTGTAGTCCATCTGTTTCTCTGCATACTTTGTTAGCCCCCTTTTACCCTGTTCTTCAGTGGTCAGGACCCCCATGGACACTCACAGAGCAGGTACTATTTGGGTGGTGGGTCATTCTCAGCACTGCAGTAACACTGACGTGGTGGTGGTGTGTTAGTGTGTGTCACACTGGTACGAGTGGATCAGACACAGCAGTGCCGCTGGAGTTTTTAAACACCGTGTCCACTCACTGTCCACTCTATTAGACACTCCTACCTTGTCAGTCCACCTTGTAGATGCAAAGTCAGAGACGATAGCTCATCTGCTACTGCAGTTTGTGTTGGTCATTCCTCTAGTCCTTCATCAGTGGTCACAGGACGCTGCCCACAGGACGCTGTTGTCTGGATATTTTGGTTGGTGGACTATTCTCAGTCCAGCAGTGACACTGAGGTGTTTAAAAGTTCCAGCAGCACTGCTGTGTCTGATCCACTCAGACCAGCACAACACCACCACCACGTCAGTGTCACTGCAGTGCTGAGAATGATCCACCACCCAAACAGCACCTGCTCTGTGAGGGTCCATGGGGGTCCTGACCACTGAAGAACAGGGTAAAAGGGGGCTAACAAAGTATGCAGAGAAACAGATGGACTACAGTCTGTAACTGTAGAACTACAAAGTGCACCTATATAGTAAGTGGAGCTGATAACATGGACAATGAGTGTAGAAACAAGGAATAATGTTATGCCTGATTGGTGTACATCTACTCAGAGCTGTATATGTATAGATATTCATACTTCTCTTTAGCTCAGCAGTGCACAACTCAGGTCCTGGAGGGCTGGTGTCCAGCACAGTTTGGTAGTTCTTCCACTAAAACACACCCAATAAACCTGGCAGTTAACAGGTGAGGGTAATCAGGTGTGTTTGAGCAGGTAAATCTCTGAAATGTGCAGGACACTGGCCCTCCAGGACCAGAGTTAGGCACCCCTGCTTTAGCTCCTTTCACATAGGCCCTTTACCACACCTTTTCCAGGGGTGTCCAGTCTTACCCGCAAAGCAGGAGCTCACCTGATCAGGTGTTTGAAGACTAACTGATTAAACACGTGGAATCAGGTGAGCTCGTGTATGTTTGGACTGACAACCTGCAGCCACACCCCTGCTTCATTCTGTTTACTGAAATTTTACTCTATCTGTCCCTTAAATAAACCTTGTTTTATCTTGTCTGTTAAGTCAGTTACATGTCAAACATGTCTGCACTCACCAAGTCAAATCCCTTACATGTGTAACTTACTTGGCACTATAAAGTGATTCTGATTCTAAGCCTTGATTATTTAGAAATTTCTGCTGCTGGAATCACGACTGCTGGACTTCTCACTCCCTCGACCCCCCTCTATCCTCTCCCACCTCACCTGCAAGTAAGGGTAGGTGTTTTTTATCAGGTAATACATCTTCCTGTGCGAGTTGAGGTCTCCAAGCGTCAGCTTCTCGCTGGCCCCTTCTTTGGTCTTCCCTTTAGATCTCTCCTCCAGGGCGTCCTCCAGTCGGATGCGCTTCACCTCTCTCCCTCCCTGCACCGCGGCCTCTATGGACAGAGCCAGGAGCTCCCGGAGATCCACCGTCCTCTTCTGCCTGAAGGCGGCGAGTCTGCTGGAGAGGACCCCGGCGTACAGGTGGTAAATCACGCCGAGCCCGAGAAGACAGAACACGGCCACTCCGAGCGGCGACAGCCGGATGCCCATCGGTGCCATAGCGGCAGCTGCTGGATCTCCAGTCCCTTAAACTACACTAACCCGACGGACACGTTCACTCACCGGGTAGCTGCTCCGCGCATTGTTTTGATATTTGTGAAACGGAGCCCGAACCACAGCGCTTTAGCTCCACTGTTAGCTGCTAACGGTGGCTAACGCTGGACTGATGACCGAAAAAGCGCTGCTGCTCTGCAGTAACGCGATTTCCACTAACTTACGCCGACTCGCCGGTCCGAAGGGTCCCCTCAAAGCGCTGTCAGAGACCGCCGATGCTTAAAACACCCTGAAACTGTCCGACTTTGAGAGGAACAGACAGACAGACGCTGTGTTTGTGTCGGAGAAGCTCAGCCCGGTTCCACGTCCGCGGTGGATGACGCCGCTCTCGCTCTCATTCACATACACACTAATGCTTCTCCTTCCAGGTCGGAAACCCAGGCTGTGTTCCGAATCGCGAAGAACTAGTGCACTACATAGTGCGCTACTTCCGCCATTTTTTCTGTCGGAATTTCAACGGTAAATTTAGTGCCGGCTGTGTCTCGAACCAAGAACTTGATAGCTGTTTAGAACCTACCAGCTCCGCACCAGCCTAGGCCAACTCTAAGTACCCCTATGAGAACTCTAACCTCTTATCCTCCAGGGTATATTTTGGGTTTTCCATCTGAATTTTCATGACCAAGTCATAAGGCAAATTATTCGGTAACTGCATGAAATAAATGTAAAGTTTTATTTTATTGATTTATTGTTTTTCTTTTTTTTTTTTTGGTAAAAGCTCCCGTCAAATTAACAGAAAATGTGTTTTATGATCACACATACTGCTATATTCTTACAATTTACTGCTGAAAGACAAAAATCTTAGACGTTCTTTGTATTATTTTATAAAAAATAATGTTTACAGAGCAGATCACTGAAGAGATGCCATCTGTTTATAGTTTATAGCCCAGATTTGTGGAAAAATGGGTTGACTTTCAGTAGAAATAAAAAATTGTGAGTTCAGCTTCTTTTATTATAAGGGTTTAAAATCACATCACCCATCTATTTGACTTGAAAGAAGACAGTTACAGCTCTCATATGACCCCTATCTTTAGAATGTAGCTTATGAAATATGAAAGTTATGAAGAATATGACGAAGTGCGTTTTGGAACCACCGGTGGTCTCAAGAGTTAAAGAGGCTAAGACACATTATTACTTAAAGAGGCATTCCAGCCCCAAACTAGCACAGCATCCATCAGCCCTGCTGGTTTGACTGATTACCCAAATTTGTATCCTTCTTGTGTTTTCATCTGTCAATGCTTGCACACTACAATACCCAGAATGCACTGCACAAATGTGTTATACAACCATTTGGAACCCCCCCATGATGATAAAGATGTAGAGGGTAATGACTGCAGATGTGATATTTGGCTTTTCTAGCAGTAATGTTAGCTATCTGGCTTCCTTCTGCATTAGCCAGCAAGCCAAACAAACAAACAAATAAATAAATTCCATCCCACCTTTTTAGGGCTTGTAGTTTTTCAGAAGTTCCTCCCACCTTCAAGATACATCATCAGAAGGGGGTTTTATCAGTCTTTAAACCAGAAAACCTCTCTTTCGAGACCACTGTGGCAGAACTGTAGGAGGTGTGCAGGCCATGTTCACAACAGATGTAGCGATGGTTACATTTTCCATTTTGGCTGAAGTGGCCCTTTAATAGTTTATCTACTTTATAAGCTTGAAAAAGCATTACATTATTTATCCATTTGTTGCCTTGCCATCTTTATTTTGCATAAATTGCCCAAGAGCCTTTCTGCTGTCCATGAAATCCACCCCCCCCCCCAAAAAAAGGGCTTACATCTACATATAACATGAATAATAAATGCAAAGGTGCCAAAAACTGAAGTCACCATGTCTGTTTTATTTTACAAACGTAATACCAAGAACTGAAGATTGTGAAAGAATGATTATTGTTCATAAGGCATGATTACTCCGAAGAACAGAGCTGCTGTGGCCCACAACACTGAGGCATACAGTAATAATGAGCATCGTTATATTTCTACCCCATATTTAGCTGAGAGGTAGCCGAAAGATTCACATATGTTAAAGTAAATAAATAATGAGGCTGTGAGTTCAAACATCAACACAAACATTCAGGTATTCACAAAATACTTAGTCTCGGTGGAATGACTGTATTATTTAACGCATGCTCCTCTTTACACAACATCATGCTGAAACTCTGCTCATATGTTACAACATTTACAACAGACTCATGCTGGTCAATGATTCACTAGAAACGGGAATTAAGGAGGAAAACGCACAATGAACATAGTTACACCATCTATGGTACACAGGGTCGATGGACATTTGGCTTAAACTGAAGTCGACCAGAACGTCTTTGCCTGCGGCTAGTAAAGCTGACCTGAGTTATGAATGTTGAAAAATACTTTAAATTTAAATGTTATTAGGAAGTTTATGTGCATTTATTGAAGAGGGTCAAATGTATGTCTTATGTTTTACCTAATCAGACTTACTTGATTAGACATAGATACTGGCACACGACTGCAAGTCTATGAATATGAACATATGTAAATATGTTCAAAAAGAGCTGATTGAATTGTACTGGATGTATATTACTCTGCAAAAGTCAGAGACCACCCTTCATTTGTTTAATTTCCAGTCAAAACGACCATTAAGTACAATTTATTCATTTTTCAGATGTTTCTGAGGAGATTAGATATAAAACGACCCACCTGCATAAGGAAGAAGAAAGTCAAATGAAAATAAGTGAAAATACAGGAGTTTCCGAAACTGGATGCAAAGAAATTGTGATGTGTAGCCATCAAGAAGCTGCTACTAAAAAAGGAAATAGACAAAAAGAAGGACATATGCAAATCAAAGAAAAAAAGCCACTGGTGTTCTCAGAACTGTAGACTGACCACCCCAGGGTCCAGACCTCAACATCAACCCAATACAAGGAGCAGAAAATGCAACCAACTTCTAAGACTGAACTGCAGGTGTGAAAAATATCCCTGCAGATTTCTTTGAAAAACTAAAAGAATGGGAGCTGTGATGAAGGTAAGGAGTGACACACTAGATGCAGAAAAATGGATATTATATTTACTTGTTGAGGCTTCTGAGTAATTTTCTGTTAAATGTGCTTTTGGCTTTTTTCCTGATGAATAACTTGTACTTAATGGCTGTTTTGATTGGAAACTAAATACAGGAAGGGTGACTCTGACTTTCGCACAGTGCTGTAGATATGTGCAAAATTCTCATTTAACAGCCCGTCCAGACGCAGCCTGAGAGGCTTACCAAACGAAGCTTTAGCTACAGTGGTCAGCGACGGAGCCATATCCATGTGTTGACCAGCCAGAATGCCACAGTAAGTGAGTACATGACCATCTCCCGCTTGGCTCTCTCTTTATTCTCCTGCTCCAGCAGCTGAAGCCTTCGGTTCAGCTTTATGATCTGTTCAGTAAAAAAAAACAACAAAAAAAAACAGAAAAACATAGATTCAGTTCAGAAAGATATGATTCAGTTCAAATCAATTTTGATTATAAAGCTGACTGAGGAGTGAATCAATTGACCTATTCAAGCTCTGCCCAAAAATGTGTTTTTAAGCTACTGTTGCAAGGCTGGAGAGTGACTCATTTAAAGAAACGATTAGAGAACGATTTGCAGAATGATTCAATACAGATTAACCAGGTTGCAGATTTGATTTGATCAGTTTTTGAGGATTGATTCAATTCAGATTAATCTGATTATAGAGTGGCATTTTAGGAGTGATTCAGTTCAGATAAAACTGATTACAGGCTGGTGTTTGCGGAGGATTCAATTCAGATTTATCTGATTATAGAGTGCCATTTCAGGAGTGATTCAGTTCAGATTTATCTGATTATAGAGTGCCATTTCAGGAGTGATTCAGTTCAGATTTATCTGATAATAGAGTGTCATTTCAGGAGTGATTCAGTTCCAAAGAATCAGATGACAAGAGTGGTGTTGCTTGAGGGATTCAGTTCAGATGAATCTGATAACAGAGTGCTATTTCAGGAATGATTCAGTTCAGATGAATCAAATGACAGAGTGGTGTTTCATGAGTGATTCAGTTTAAATGAATGTGATTACAGAGTGCCACTTCAGGAGTGATTCAGTTCAGATCAATCTTTTCTTTCCTTCATTTTTTATAATACAGATGAATCTGATTATAGAGTGGTGTTTGGGGAGGGATTCACTTCAGATGAACCTGATTACAGATCAGTGTTTCAGTTCATTTGGTCCTATTACAGAGTGGTATTTGAGGAGTGATTCAGTACCTGTCGTCTCAGGCCTGCAGCATCCACTAAAGAGGCATCATCTGGAGTGCTCTCCAGACTAGCATCCAAAGTCGCAAGAGCAGTTCTGCAATGACATAAGCAAAGCAACATGGTATATTTAAGCATATAATGTGCCTCTATATAGACTATGTAAATGTTTTTTTTGTTTTTTTTCATTTTATCATTAATAATTTTATAAATTCTGCAGCATGTGTGCACCATTAACTTTACGTTTGACAGAACTGACTGCCTTCCCAGAGCCATATAATAAAGTACTTAATTCAATTAAAGTGATCATTTGACAAAAAAAAAAAACCTTGATTTTGTTCAGGATAAAAGAATTTGTGTATGTTTGATGTTTCATCAGACCATCACTTTAACTGCCTCTCAGTCTTCCATGACATGATAAATATGTAATGATAGCATCACAGCAATGCATGCAAACAGAACAGCGCAACTGCAATAGTCCCCAGTCGCTGCTTAGAGCATTTTTCAGCCACTCTGCTCCCAACTCTCTCTGTGCTCCAGGGAAAATCTGACCTGTCCACCGTAGCTCAGCCTCACTTACCCCCCAGACTCAGAGCACAACCTTCACTGCTTCCTCTCTTTAAAAGCACTGCTCCTGTAGCACCCGTGACTGGCATATTTTACAGTTTCCCTGCTCCAATGATCAAATTATCAAACTAATCAGCAATTAAAAAGCCCTTACTAAGTGGAAGAGAGGCTGTTGGGACTATAATATTTATAGTTAACATATTTTTGGTAGCCGGGCGGCATGGTGGCGCAGTGGGTAGCGCTGTCGCCTCACAGCAAGAACGGCCTGGGTTCAATTCCCGGCCGGGTGACCAGGGTCGTTTCTGTGGGGAGTTTGCATGTTCTCCCCATGTCTGCGTGGGTTTCCTCCCACAGTCCAACGACATACAGTCAGGCTGATTGGGCATGCTAAATTGCTCCTAGGTGTGACGGTGTGTGTCTGTCTGTCTGGCTGCCCTGCGATGGACTGGCGACCTGTCCAGGGTGTATCCTGCCTTCCGCCCAATGACAGCTGGGATAGGCTCCAGCGCCCCACCGCGACCCAGAAGGATAAGCGGTTTAGATGATGATGTATGTATGTATATTTTTGGTAGGGCTGGCCCAATTAACTTGAATACTTGAGTATTCATTAGTTATGTTTTGTTATGCCTTTTTAAATAGGGCTACAACTAATGATTATTTTGGTAGTCGACTAATATGTCGATTATTTTTTCAACTACTTGATTAGTCGATGATTATTTCCGTCATGCCCTCCATCTTTTCTTAAAAGTAAAAAATAGCATCTTGCTGGGTCTGGAAGTCCAAAGGTTCACATAAGGCTTCAAATGAAAAAAAAAAAAACTTCTTCCAGTCCAAAATAACTATTAGCAACAGTTTACAAAAGCTTTAAATTGCAGTGCAGGAAGGGGAGCATACTGATGTGCTCTGGCGCAAGGCTGGCTCTCTTTTTTGAGGTGATGCTCCTACGCATTAGACAACATAACTACTAACATTAGTCGGCTAAAGAACGAAGTGGTGGAAAACATTTTTACTCTTCCGGAGCAGCGTTAGGCCTGATTCACACATGCTGCCTCTGCATGGCGTGAGTGACGCAGCAGCATGAGCGCTACAGCTTGAACACGCTGGACTATCATACATTCAGTGTTTGTGGAAGTTATACAGACATTCCTTATTCCAAATGGGTTAATGGCCACATCAGTCACTCTGCTCAACAAAAATATCATTTATATAAGTACATGGTATATTTACATTTATGGCATTTGGCAGATGCTGTTATCCAGAGTGACTTAAAATTTCAAGATCTTTAACACAGGTAATCCAAGGTAGTGTTAGGAGTCTTGCCCAAGGACTCTTATTAGTATAGTGTAGGGTGGGGATTAAACCCCAGTCTACAGCATAGAAGGCAGAGGTGTTACCTGCTACACTAAACCAACAACTATATATGTTTGTCCTGGACAGTGTTCTGACTTGATAGGGAAAAAGTTTCAAGCCTGGTAGGCCAACCGGGAAATCTGTTTGCAGCACGGAATGTTTAACTCATATTTAGTCAAGAATAAAATTTTTTAGTTTGTATACGGTTTTCTGTTTAATTTTCATTGATTTTCATGGCTCATTTTGTGTATCTGGAAAAAATCAGCACCCGGTCTATTCTCTGAACACCACGCTGCTTCAGTGCAGCGTCTGGGACTCTGCCACTTCGCATGTGCAGCCATTGGCGCTGAAATGAAAAACAAGACTTGCCGCGTCGGTCACGCCATGCAGACGCAGTATGTGTGAATCAGACATCACGGCCGCTTGCGTTTCAGACGCTCATGCATCACCGTAGTGCTGCTGTGAAATGACAACTCTGCTTTGCAGTATTTGCATTCGACTGGTTTAAATGGTTTATTTTCGCTGAAATACATATCTACGCCGCGCCATCATTCAATATGTTCTTTTCATTAGCACAGAATGCAGTCATGCCAATGAAAGCGATACCGCCCCAGAACTTCCTGTAGTTACAAATTAATCATGCGTTGACACTGAAACTCTAAGTCGACAAATTTTTATAATCGTCGTTGTTGATTATGTCGACTAATCATTGCAGCCCTAATTTTAAACGCAACATTTTATCATAAAACTAGAAAACGTTGATAATTACTTAACAATGGATGTGATATTAGGCTCGAAAATACCATGACATATCCAGGTAATCTTAGCTAAAGACTAAACTCTGCCATGCTCCTCCTATGATTTCGTAAGTCACCTCTTTTCTTTGAAAGACGAAATAAATTAGTGAAAGTTATTAAAATGGCAAAAAGTATTTAAACAAATAAATTACACATTCACATTCAGGTGAAGATGCTGTCCTCAGTCACTCGTTTAGACACAGCAGAGCTGAGAGACCAACAGAAATACTAACTCAGGGGTCGCAACCCAAATGTTAAGAAGAGCCATTTTATTCTTTCAACAAAAATCAAACCACCTGGCAGTAAATATGTCTCAGTATGTGCTGACGTACTAGTACAGGCTACAAAATATAAATATAAACGAAAACGCAGACTTACTTTGCTCTGCTTTAAGCTTTAGCTCAGCTATAGCTGCTTTTCTCACATCTCCGGCAGGAAACTTTTCCTCAAAAGTGGAGTAATTTCTTGTAAAATGTCTCTCAAAAGTTCAAATTTTTCTGTTCCATCTTAAATGGTACCTGAGACGCCAGAATGTAACAAAATTGTTATTTGCGTTGCTATGGTGACCAGCAGTCTGCACCGATCTTCAGGGTTAAAGGGTGAATTAGCAGTTCTACATTAACTCCAGCGTTTTAGACCATTTACTGTTAAACTGTGTTGAACGATCAGCAGAGCTTTATTTTACTGTAAAGGAGGATTATTTTCTTTTTACCTAAAATCTAATTCTGCTGTGGAGCCGCAACAGGGCAGTAAAGGGTCGCATGCGGCTCCAGAGCTAGCTAATCTGGGCTAGCTGATCAGCTTAGCTGTTTCTATAAGGTATTTTTCAGTTTTTAATCTTATATCGTTCTATCTAGAATGACTGAATCGCCAAAGAGATGTGAAGAATGAACTGATAAAGATGATCCACACTGAGAGAAGTATCTCTCTATTCATTACGTGCACTGGGAGAAACATATCCATTCAATATTAATGCTGGGAAACATATCTCTATTCAATATTAAGCATCCCTCAGGAAGGGGTCAGCTGATAAGCTGCATAAGGAGCTCACCTGTGGTGACGGTCATCCAGCATGTTCAGGACTTGCTCGTAGGCTCGGCGCGTGGTGCACTGGATGTAGGAAAGGACGCCACTCGCGCTGTACAAGTTGTGGCAGTCCTCAGGGCTGATGAGGGGGGGACAAGCACGGATTGGAGCGCTTGGAGATGGACTCGCACTGACCAGCAGAAACAGGAGCATGAATAATATGTTAAAACTCCAAGAGCAATGTGGAGCAGAGGTGTGACTGCTATTCATTATAATACTCTTTAATAATGATTAAAACTAAACATTCCAAACCCCTTTTCAAAGGCACAACTGTCGTTCACTTCTTATGATAACTTATGATAACTTTCTCTAAGGAGCTTTTAGAGGCATTAAACTCAGGCATCTGGTTCCTATCACCACCACTGTGAACAACTCTGAGTCGATCGTTTTCTCCTGAACAGAGAATTCCACACCAAACCACTCTGAACGACTCTGTTCACATGACTTTGTTTATAATCATTTAATTACACATAAAGTTTGAAAATTCAGGTAATGAAAATATTGTGATGAAATGAACACCCCTGATGTCAGACACATTGTTTTATAATAGTTTTGAGAAGGTTTTGGCCTAAACTATTTTTTTTGTTTTTGTTTTTAATTTAAAACTTAATGCAGAGGTCCATGCAGGTCACCGTGAAGCAAACCAGTTCCCTTTTTCAGATTTACCACTATTTTATCACTATTTTACCAGAATCAGCATTATTACATATAAAAACTCATGTGGTTCACTGGTGGTTTTGGATAGTAAATAAAATGGCTCAACCACTAAATTATGCAGCAATAAATTCAACTTTTAGTATGTATGTGCTTTTACTCACCCTTCATATTTGTTGATTTGGCCGTTGTGACGGACAGCTGAGTTCTCACTGACACTACGATCACGCCGCGACCTTGTGTGAGACTGGACCTTTGTAGAGAGAGGGCAGAGATTACATAAACTTTACATTAATAAAAATGCTTTATTTCCTTGCCAAAGTTGGCCACTTAGCTGGCCATGTTTGATTTGACCTGTCAGAAATTGCCTATCCTCCTGCCCAGAGCTCCGGAGAATGAGAGTTTGTTTTTGTTTTTTACAAATTCTTATTTTTTTAGTTTCTTTTTTTCTCTAAAACTGTATTTTTGAAGTATTTTAGTAACACCGGATTTGGTGTAATGTTATAATATTACAATGTAACAGGCAGCGAAGGTACACGGACAAGAAGATATTTAGAGACCTACGGGGTAAAGAACGTTTGAACTACTGAATTTAAAGGCAAAGCTGTGTGCCTCATATTTAGATCTTGAAGTATTTAAAGAAAGCAGTCTCTCCTTGTGGTTTAGGAACATGCAAAAACGCAAGGATAACAAGGTGCTAGCTAGCTATGTTGTGTTTTTGGTCCTCAGCCCACTATAAACATTACACTTCACCCCCCCCAAAACAAAACTTTTGGAGAACCCTGGCCTAAAGTGATGACGTTTTGTATATTTATACCTTGGATGAACATCCAAGTCCAAATGACTGGATTTTATATAATAATTTAAGTGATAAAAGTTTATTTTCGCCATCTGGGTTGATCGATTTGATTTTTTCAGGTTTGTGCTTAGACAAGTTCAGAGAACATACGAGCCAAAGGAAATTTAATATTTCATTTACAGCATTTGGCAGACGCCCTTATCCAGAGCGACTTACAATTTGATCATTTTACACAGGTACGCAAAGGTCTTGCCCAAGGACTCTTACTGGAATATTTCAAATATGAACACATGAGTTAATGAAGCTGAAGCTGAAATGATTCATCCTTTGTTTGGTTCAGCCTTACAAATATGGAACAGCTGGCACACGAAATAAATCATTAATACTAGTTCTGCGTTTGAACAGTCCTTGTAAACTTGTAAACACGAGGAAGTTGCACTAGCTGCCAAAGTCATAAACGGCACTTGAATGACTTGATTAGCAGTAGCATTAAGCAGTGGTTGACAGAGTAAAGGCAATAATTCTGTTTATCAGTATCAGATAAAAATGAACAATGTAGGGTTATAAACAATAATCTGTAGGCTCATAAAACTAAGTTCAACGATGATGTTTGTAAACACCTTGCAAGCACTTATGACAGACCAGTACAAACACTGAAAACATGATACTGGATAAAACTTAGGGCTGAACAATTTGGGGAAAAAATCGAATTGCGATTTTACTGATCAATATCGCGACTGTGATATAAATTGTAATTACTTTCTGTCAACTGAAATCCAGGCCTGTTATTTTGGCCAAGAAGACCAGAACATCCACTTTTCTGGTTTAGGCTTGAACACTGAACATGCCAGACTGCCAGTTAGTTATGGTTGTGATGTCACAGCATACAGATGTTTGGTTGCTTCTGATTGGTCAAACTCATCTTCATGCAGTTCAAAAGCTCTGACATTAAGTTAATGTTCCCTAATTAGGGCAACACTCTTAATAATGTGGGCCAGAATTAAAATTGCAACTCTTGCGATTTGAAAATTGCACTCTTTTAAATTACAGTATTGATAAAAATACGATTAATCTTTCATCTCTAATAAAAACTAAAAGATGTTAAGTTTTTCAATGAGATATCGAAGAATGATCGAGGTTCTCTGGCAGTTAGACAATGTTCCGACTTTACGAGTTGACAAGGAAACTACAAGAACAGATTCGGCCCGAAGCCTCCAACAAATATACGTTCATAATTTCAGCATCTCTTTCTTTCACTACCTCCTCTTTCAGCTGAGCTGGTGGTCCCATTGGCTGTTCTGGTTCCAGAAAATCCAGGGGCTGGTCTTTGAGGGTGAGGACCTGAGGAGGGGCCTTCAGCTCCACAGACTCCATTGGGGTGGACTGAATCAGGTCCAAATCTCTGGGTGTGCTAAAGTGAGCATCATTCCCATCTCCTTGAGAGAGAGAAATGATACAATCAACAAGCTAGCCGATCAGATCAGTTCGGAAATGTCTGATATAGAAGTCACCAAGCTGTGACCTGACATAGTAATACCTGTCACTACAATCCTCTCAGGAACGTGCATCATGGTAGCACCATGGGACACATCCAGCAGAGCCCCAGGATGGTCCTCGGAGGGGTTGGGTCCGATTTTGAGCCTGTCAGGGATCCTCATCTGCTGGCTGATGCCCTCCGTGTACTCCAGCTCATACTGGATGCGGTTTATCTCGGCCATGTCGACCTCACTCATTTTCCCCACAGCTGCGAGACGCACATGTACAAAACAGTCTTATAAACAGAACAACATGCCTACAGGACAATTTGCTTGAAATGGTATATTTGACAGTATTATAACTGACCAGTAAGAATATATTAGATTAAATTCAGAGAGTAGGCTGCTTAAAGTTATATGGCTGCAGTAACATTAATTTTCTGGCTTCCTTCTGTGTTCACCAGCTATCAGAAAAACAGATACAAAATGGTCACCTCAAGGGTACATCTCAGTACCTTTAGTCAGGGAACATAACTGTACCATAATCCACTGAAATGATATTTTCTAGGTTGTACTGACTCCACACACCCCGTCTCGTCTCCAGGACTTTATTTTATTTTTCTGTTTTAAAACAATCAGTTATGAAAAGATACAAATATGTACTTTTCACCTGCTTATTTAAGGTGCACGACTGGACCTTAAAACCACTGTTGTACCTTTGAGGGTACATTTACATTGTTTATACCTTGATAACAGTGTAGAAAGGAAAATTTCAAAAAAGCATACCCCAAAAATCCCCAAAAGCACCTGTAGTTTTTCAAAAAAACCTATCAGTCTTCAAGATACATCATCAGAAGGGGGTTTTCCTAGTCTTTAAACCAGAAAATCTTGCTCTAGAAACTACTGCGGCACCACTGTAGAACGCAATAAGCATGTTTACAACAGATGTTGATGGTTACAGTTTTCTTTTTGGCTGGAGTGTCCCTTTAATAGTATTAATGCAGAATTAAATAGGACAGGCATCTCTGTGTGATTCAGATGAACAGATCAGTACAGTCAACATGACAAAACAAAAATCAACAGATATCACAGTATAAGTGCAGAGCATCTGGGCATCTGGATCTGGAGTGTCTGTACAGCTATCAAGATATATATATATATATATAATATATATATATATATATATATATAAAATGCCCTATCCTGCCTTCCGCCCAATGACAGCTGGGATAGGTTCCAGCACCCCAACGCGACCCAGAAGGATAAGCGGGTTAGATGATGTATGTATGTACGTATGTATGTGTATATATATATATATATATATACACATATACACACACACACACACACACACTGTATAAAACACATTCTCCATCAGTCTGAAGAAGCACCATGCAAAGAACAATTTAAGCATGAAATGGTTCTATGTAGGCTGCTTTATTTATATATATATATATATATATATATATATATATACATATATATATATATGCGTGTGTGTGTGTATATATATATATATATATATATATATATATATATATTCTTTGCATGGTGCTTCTTCAGACTGATGGAGAATGTGTTTTATACAGTTCTATATAGCACTAAATAGGGTTCCTCTTTTGTTACAAGCTTGACATCATAACAATAGCAGAACCTCAAAAAGGTTCTATACAACACATATATCCAAGATTTTAAACAAGAATGACAGACAACACATTCTCCACCAATATGAAGCAGAGGTGGGCAATATGGCGATGTGTTTCACATTATTGTGATCAATTATGTCAACATGCTTCTCTGAGCATATTGTGGATATACATATTTCATTACAAAGTGATTACAGTTAGGCCTGTTTAACTGGATTAACTGCAGTGCAGTTTGTAAAAGATTATTATTATTACTATTATTATTATTATTATTATTATTATAGTATATGTGACACTATAGTTTATTTTGTCTGTTAATATCGTGATGCATATGGTGTATCGTGAAAATGCCTTCAGATATTAAGACAAAATATTTTGATATATCGCCCACCCCTAAACTGATTTTGAGCATGCAAATCGTTCTGTATAGTACTCATTACCATTGCCCTTACTAAAGAACCCTTGGAGAACCATCTTTTTTAGGGTGTAGGTTATGACATTGACTTATTCGTATACTGTATTTTTTGACATTTTGTCGATTTTTACGCTACAACACTAAAATATCGCCAACAACTGGGACAAAAACACTAAACACATTAAAGCTTAACGTGTTTTCTTGTTTTTACAGCCGCGGTTTTATCTACAGCACCTGCTGGCAGAACCTTAGCTAGCTAACTAATAGTTGGCTTCCTATTCGCCAGCTTCTTGTTCAGATTTTCCCGTTCCACCTTAAATGGTGCAGCAGTTTCAATGTAGCGCACGAGGCGCCTGACTGTAACTGCTGCACCATTTAAGGTGGAACGGGATAATTCGAACAAGAAGCTGGCGAATAAGAAGCTGACTTCAGCTTCGTGCTAACTTAGCTGGCTAATTCAAACTGATAACCATCCCTCTCCTAAAAACAGCTGAATGAAAAAAATATTACCAAAATATTTTGATTAATCTTATACGAATGTCAGGTTTGGCCTCTACAGTCAACATTAAATGCCATATAAGCTGCGTAGTTAACTAACCTTGTTCATCCGTCGGCGCTGTCCGTCCGTTTCTCTTTCGTTTTCACATGTCGAAGTGCACTGTCCGGTTTGATTTGCAGAAACCAGATAAGCTGGTCAGACGTATCCTTTAATTGTATGCGCTGTCTGCTGGTATAAACCTCTTTTATTCGAGGTGTGAGGACTAAACCGCTCCTTCTCACTGCTCGTCTGTCCGCTGCATGTTCATGAAATGGGCCGTGGTCGCGTTCCAATCTGCGCGGTTGTGTCCTACATAGGGCGCCTTTCTAGCCTCCGCTGTGTTCCAAACCAATAGTGCTAACCGCGTGTACATTTACGGACAGCCTGTACAAAATTTAGTGTAACGTTAAGTGTGCATAAATCCGTAAAGTGAACGTGCTGTTTGATGTAAACAATATTTCAGCTACTAGAATTTGTCCATATGCAAGTACACGTGGTCACATGTAATGGAGCCCCTTGAAGTTACTTTCACCCGGCATACATTGCAGCTCAGTTCCCGTAGTGTAGTGGTTATCACGTTCGCCTAACACGCGAAAGGTCCTCGGTTCGAAACCGGGCGGGAACAAGCGATAACATTTTTCATATTGCTACAAGAATTGAGTTGAGAAATTAAATTTCACCTTATTGTCATTCCTCAGTATATTACTCAGGCCTCAAACACACAAAGCAACATTACAGAGGACTAAATAGAGAGCACATAAACGACAACGTGAAACGAGTGCAGGACATACACCAGGCAGTATATATGGAGAACAATAAATACTACAGTGCTGAAAAGACCATTAGAACTATATAGATTCAAACCTGATAGTTTTGCCTACTAATGGGAATTGGCTTAATGTTTACCATTAGAGGTCACTAAGTTTCCTGGAGGACACCTTTAGATCCCATTAGGAAACTATCAGATACATCTGGAATCAGTCCCAGAACACTGAATAAACCATTAGAATCCTTTAACACTGGGATATCAACCTATCAGGAAAACACTAAAGACCATTAGTGACTATTGGACACCACCAGAAACCAACAGAAACTTTTAATGGTTTCTGTGATTTTTTTTTTATTTATTTATTTTTTTTGTGTCAGCAGGGTCATCACTGACAGTATTTACAGCATTTTCCTAATGGTAAAAGGTGTTCTGGGACTGGTTCCAGATGCATTTGTGGTCAGTAATGGTAACCAAGAAAAAGTATATTCCTTATACATTTGGTTAATTTGAAATTTATTCATACTTAGAAAAAAAAGTGATGACGTATGAGGAACTTAGTAAATGTAATTAGTTATTACCGACCATTGAAGACTAACCACTAAAGCATGCTGTTGAAGGTACTTCAGAGCCGGTTTATGAGGAGCCTGGCCACTTCCTATTTCCCCTGTTATATCAAAAACATGACTGCACAACGCATGAAAGCGCCCGTGAGCAAGTCCTCAATGAATATGGGTGAGTAGAGTTAAACGGCTTAAAACATAATCTAATCTAATTCTAATCACTCGCCCAAAACTTTCCTTTAATTTTAGAAAGTAGAAGGACGTATTTCACTAAAAAAGCAAAGAAAACTCACCTGTATGTTTCCTTTTTCTGCAGCAAACAGGTTTTGGGCAGCAGGGCACTAACATTACTGCTACTAAATGCTGATTGGTTGGCGAGCGGAGCAGCTCATTGGCTGTTTGGTCTCACAGATGTCATGGATGTACATGAGGCGCCGTTTTAAACTATAACTCGAGTTTAAAAGTTAAAATGTTTAATGCTATTAAGTGTTCAGGAAATGATTGCATTCTTTATATTAAAAATCTTTAAGCATTTATAAACTATGGTTTTGCTTAAATGCTCCATCTAAACCCATTCATTTTGGACTCACTTAGGAGCGCCCTCTAGTGTTTGAGAAACCCAGAAGACATTGCAGAGTGGGAATTCTCCTCTCTACAAGTTCTCTGGGAATTTAACTCCCTGTTAGTAAAAAAAAAACAGCATAGACCAGCCTGGCTGGTCACCAGCAAAACAGCATATGTTGTGTTTTGGATGCTGGTATTCTAAACCAGCACCAGACCAGCACTAGACCAGCATAAACCAGCACAGACCAGCTTAGACAAGCATAGAATTCATTCAGGTCTGTGCTGTTTTTTCAGCGCGGCTGTGGGCCTAGAATTCATCCTTTTTAGTAATGACAGTTGCAGCCAGCAGATGGCGCAAGCTCACTACTGAAGCCTCCACATGGACAGATGTGCAAGCGCGCTGCTGTGATGCTGGTAGGGAATTCCTCTGGACGTCCTCTGGTAGGTTACAAACTACAGTGACCTAAAACGCTGATTCTGGTCAGTGGAGGCCGGCCTAAAAGCTCTCGTGGTTTCAGTCCATGCATGTCCTCAGTAAGGCGGTGAGGTTCTGGGTAATCCAGGTCATCATGTACAAATCAGACATGTGGCGCTCCGATGTTTGTCAGTGAGAGGTCTTTCCATTCACACTACCATTAACTATTAATAGCAACATCACACAAGAGGAGCTATCCTCCAACAAGGTCACAAAGGGCCAGAACAGTATGGCATTCCTGGGAGGCATCTTCACCCTCACAGGTTGTCACTTACTGTTATCTCCTCAATCACTCTGCATCACATCGATCAGGGGCTGTACGGCGCTCTGCTAAACCTTAGTGGCCTGTCCAGTACACATTACCCACCTGACTGGTCAGAGCTCACTCACAGTGTTGCTTTCAGGGGAAAAAGCTAGACATCCTGAAATGCGGTTAAAGAGCCTGTATCATTGAAAACTGAACTTTCCTTACTTTTTCTGACTGAGTTTGATGTAGTAGATCAGCCCTGTAAGTTTTAAAACATACCTTTAACTCCCCAGCGCATATTCAGAAACTAAGCTGCAAAAACTGTCTGTTTTAAAATTTATGCTTTTGTGATGTCACAAAAAAACAAGGCAAAAGCATTTACATATATCAGGTCAACCCCACCTATTTACTTTAAAGCTACAATGAGTGTTCCAGCTTGGACTGCTTTGTGAAAGCAACACATTTCAGGGCAGCCAATCAGGACAGAGCTCATTTACATATAGCAGCCTAACAGAAACAGCCTGTTTTAATGCTAGGTGATAAAGAGAGGCTGGAAAATGATCATGTAAAAATGAAGTATGACTGTTTAATCACACAAACTCCACATAAAGGCCAAGAACTGAAATGATGATTAACTGTTAAAGCAGTAGTTCTATGTGAATGATTAAAAAGAAAGTAAGTAAGAAAAAGTAGATTTCCACTAGCAGTAGCATTTATTAGTAGATAGGGTTATTTTGAAGAACTCAAAAACGTAAAAATCTTCACCTCTGGTTACCTTGAGGCAGAAAAGAGGAATCCAGTCACCAACAAAGCTGATTAAATCAGGACTTGGTAACTGCAGTGAACCGTTCTTGGTAGTTGCGCTAAAGCCGTGTGCAATGCTGCTGTTCTCATGCAGATCACAGCAGCGTCAGGTATAAAACCACTTCAAATAATGAGTCTTTCAGGTTTTTCTATAATAAAGAGCTCATTATTTGAAGTTGCTTCGAACCTGACGCTGCTGCGATCTGCATGAGAACAGCATAGCAGTAATGGCTGTGCATGGCCTCAGCAAAACTACCACAGTTTGCTTTACAATGCACTGCATGCTGCTAATAAACTAAAATTCTCTACAAACCCAGATAGCAACCATATATCAGTCTGCTGGCTTAACAAGGTCGACACCCCGCTGACTGTATGCCACTGCTGGTCCACCCTCGGACCACCCAAATTACTGTCCTGTGTAACTAGTTTTTAATCTCCTCAAACTGATTTTAAACGCACACAGACTTTTATTTTGGAAAAAAGCTAAGACAATTATTAAAAACTACATATATAAAAATGATGGTTCTTCAAGGGCTCTTTAGTAAAGAAAACAACTTCAAATAACGAGTCTTTTATTACAGAAAATTGTTTAGTCTGATGGACAGAACAAAATGCTACATACAGCAAAATTTAGAGTTTAAAGCAAAGAGAAACAACTTGAAATGGTTGGCTAGCATGTAGTTTGGATAGCATGTATGCTAACTAGGGCTAATATAGCTGAAGTTGTCAGCTAGATTAGCTGAGGTTTTAGCAAATTACAGGTCAGATTCTTTTAAAACCTGCTAAAATGCCAGCTGGATTTGCTATTACACTGGCTAGCTGACCTGCTGTACAGACTGCAGACTGAATAACCATTTTAAGTGGCCTTTTTCCTTTAAACACCGCATTTACTGTGTTAGCGCTCCAGTTCTGAAGGTTTTTCTATAATAAAGAGCTCAGAATTTGAATCTTTTTATCAAACCTGACAGGTTTTTAACAGGGTTTACTTTACAACACAATGCATGCTGCTAATAAACGACAATTCTCTACTAAACCCAGAAAGTAACCATATATCGGTCTCCTGGCTTGATAAAGTCAGCACCCTGCTGACTGTATACCACTGCTGGTCCACCCTCAGACAACCCAGATTACTGTCCTGCATAATGCATTGTCCTGCAGATTTTAAATGCATATAGACTTTTATTTTGGAAAATAAACTAAGACAATTATTAAAAAAAAACTACTGAGGGAAAAAATGAATGTTTAGTCCTAATATACAATTATTTTGTTGAAAATGTTGTTGACACTGTGCTAGATTGGTTACAGCTCTGTAACCGGCTACATGGAAGAAAGAAATAAAGGAATAACAAGTAAATTGGGCTGTGAGTGGAAAATGAGGGATGAAAAGTGGCATTTTGTCTAATATTCTGCTTAACCACCATTAGGCTGAACAAAAAGCCAGTGGGCTGCCAGCTTTGCAGTTAGCGGGCTAACAGTGGCCCGCTATCATCTTGCTATCTTGAGACTGGACTCACATACGCATATCTCAGCCATAAATTAATTACTTTGATTTGTGAAAAAACTGTATTTTCTTTAATATTTACACAGTTTTCCCTTAGCCCAGAATGTAGTTGATTAACCAGGACATATTTGGTGTCTGAAAGTGGTTCAGTTTTGCACTGGAGCTACAAGGCTAATATAGCTAGCACAGTAGTGCACTTATAGCATCCAGATTAGCATTATGCTAACTACATACCTAAATCATCACACACCCACCTCAAACCATGTGGAGTTGTTAGGTAATCTCAAATAGACTTGCATATGTGGTTTGACTTTGTTATTTATAAATACTACTTATAGCTATGCTGTGTACTTTTTAGAGTTTTTTAGAT